GATATGCGGAGGCAGTGAAGAAAGTAGAGGAAGATGGGTCAAGGGGGAGGGATCCTGAGAGAAATGGTGTGAGTAGTAGAGATGTACCAGTACAGAGGGATAAACCAAAAAGTGATATATGGTTCAGCAAGATTGGATTTTTAGCGTTTATAGCAATGGTTATTATTGTACTGCAGGGATGGAATGCAAATCGAAGAAAATTGAGGTGGTGGTGGCAGCTGCAGAGAGATATTTGGGTGTGTGAGACTTGACAGCAGAAGAGTTACAGGGAGTGTTAAGTGGTGATGTCCCATCAATTCAGGTTGAGGGCATGAGGTTGGAGTGAGGGTATTTAAACAGTGGATAAGGATGGGGTTAATTATTAGTAGTAGTGTTGAAGGTGTGAGTGTAGTGTTAGATGGTAGGATATTTATTTGCTTTGGTTTATTTTATTTTTCAAGGAAAGATAAGGGAGTTGAACTCCAGTCTAGTAGGTGGCGGTAATGCAACAAATTGGATGCCAACCGCCGTTAAACCTCATTGAAGAAGAAGAACAGTCCATAGGTGTTATTGATTGTGTCTCACGTTCAGTACGCTTCCCATGTTTGTTATTTTGTATCGGTTCCGTATTAAACTCACCTTCTGCACCTGCTTTCTGACTCCCGGCGTATAGGTAACAGCGTCCTTCCTAACTCTGTTGCGGAGAGGAAGGAAACCACTCAGGAATTTCACCATGAGGTCAATGGTGACTTAAAAACAGGTAGAGAGTTTAATGGCTGTGATAGGAGAAAACTGAGGATAGGTCAACAACATTGTAGTTACTCCACAATACTAACCTAAATGACAGAGTGAAAAGTAAGAAGCCTGTACAGAATAAAAATATTCCAAAACATGCATTTTACTCCTGAACTTATTTAGGCTTGCCATAAAAAAGGGGTTAGTTCAGCTTTTCATTTTTAATTAATTTGTTAATTCTCAAAACATAATTCCACTTTGACATTATGGGGTATTGTATGTAGGCCAGTGACACAAAATCTTAATTTAATCCATTTTAAATTCAGGCAGTAACACGACAAAGTCAAGGGGTGTGAATACTTTCTGAAGGCACAACAGGGAGGCAAACAAAATGGTCTAGAGCAGAGGCACAGTTATAGTGGTGAGTTGTATCTCCAGTGGTGTTTTTACATATTGTTTTAAACATGAGCTGGTTAAAAAAGAGGAGGAGTCGCCAGTCACTGGTACAGAAATGGAGAAACGCTTCACTGTACTGTCAATGTTATGTCAGCACTATTGCCTTTGTGTAAGTAGGGTGTGTAGGGTCAGGTGTGTATGGTTGGTGGCTCGCATGTCAACAGCTCATATAGGCACGGTTTAGCTGAAACTCATCTCTTGACAGATAGGCTGGTAGTCTTCAAAAAAAAAAAATCAACTTAAATGGTGCTCACATAACTTTCATTAGCTGGCTAAGATTAGCATGCAGCTGTCAGTCAGTGCCCTATTTGTTATGTCTCTGCTACACGTGGAAATCACCAAAACATTCCCACCCCGAAAGCCTGAATATGTATTAGCAGCCTGTGTCAGTCTTCGAGGTGGATCCTAAACAATAATTTCCACTCTAGGACTGGAATTACAGGAATTACAGGAATTACAGGAATTACTGGAAATAGGTGCGGCAACTTTCCCTGAGGCTCTTTACTTTTCATTTTTTTATTATCTCAAGAATTAAAAGATTGAATTATCTCACTGGACACAACCAAGTGACTAATAATCTGCAATCATAACTGTCACCACTAACCCTAACCCATGCTTTTCATGTAATCTAACTGTGGATTGAATTCGGAAAGTATTCAGACCCCTTGACTTTTTCCACATTTTGTTACAATACAGCCTTATTCTAAAATGGATACAATTATTTTTCCCCCTCATCAATCTACAGACAATACCCCATAATGACAAAGTGGAAACAGGTTTTTAGAAATGTTTGCAAATGTATGAAAAAACAAAAACAGAAATACCTTATTTACATAAGTATTCAGACCCTTTGCTATGAGACTCGAAATTGAGTTCAGATGCATCCTGTTTCCATTGATCATCCTTGAGACATTTCTACAACTTGATTGGAGTCCACCTGTTGTAAATTATATTGATTGGACATGATTTGGAAAGGCACCCACAGTTGACAGTGCATGTCAGAGCAAAAACCAAGCCATGAGGTCGAAGGAACTGTAGATAGAGTGCCGAGACAGGATTGTGGCGAGGCACAGATCTGGGGAAGGGTCCAAAAGATTTTTGCATCATTGAAGGTCCCCAAGAACACAGTGGCCTCCATCATTCTTAAATGGAAGAAGTTTGGAACCAACAAGACTCTTCCTAGAGCTGACCGCCCGGTCAAACTGAGCAATCGGGGGAGAAGGGCCTTGGTCAGTGAGGTGACCAAAAACCTGATGATCTCTCTGACAGAGCTCCAGAGTTCCTCTGTGGAGATGGATGAACCTTCCAGAAGGACAACAATCTTTGCAGCCCTCTACCAATCAGGCCTTTATGGTAGAGTGGCCAGACGGAAGCCACTCCTCAGTAAAAGGTACATAACAGCCCGCTTGGAATTTGCCAAAAGGCACCTAAAGGACTCTCAGACCATGAGAAACAAGATTATCTGGTCTGATGAAACCAAGATTGAACTCTTTGGCCTGAATGCTAAGTGTCACGTCTGGAGGAAACCTGGCACCATCCCTACGGTGAAGCATGGTGGTGGCAGCATCATGCTGTGGGGGTGTTTTTCAGCGGCAGGGACTGGGAGACTAGTCAGGACCGAGGGAAAGATGAACGGAGCAAAGTACAGAGAGATCCTTGATGAAAACCTGCTCCAGAGTGCTCAGGACCTCAGACTAGGGCGAAGGTTCACCTTCCAACAGGACAACGACCCTAAGCACACAGCCAAGACAACGCAAAAGTGGCTTCGGGACAAGTCTCTGAATGTCCTTGAGTGTCCCAGCCAGAGCCCGGACTTGAACCGGATTGAACATCTCTGGAGAGACCTGAAAATAGCAATGATGCTCCCCATCCAACCTGACAGAGCTTGAGAGGATCTGCAGAGAAGAATGGGAGAAACTCCCCAAATACAGGTTTGCCAAGCTTGGAGCTTCATACCCAAGGAGACTCAAGGCTGTAATTGCTGCCAAAGGTGCTTCAACAAAGTACTGAATAAAGGTTCTGAATACTTATGTAAATGTAATATTTCCGTATTTTTTTTATTTTTATAAATGTGTAAACATTTCTAAAAACCTGTTTTGCTTTGTCATTATGGGGTATTGTGTGTAGATTGATGAGGGGGGGAAAAACAATTTAAATCAATTTTAGAATAAGGCTGTAATTTAACTAAATGTGGAAAGAGTCAAGCGGTCTGAATACTTTCCGAATGCACTGTATACTTAACAAAAATATAAACGCATCAATTTCAACAATGTTACTGAGTTACAGTTCATATAAGGAAATCAGTCAATTGAAATAAATTCATTAGGCCCTAATCTATGGATTACACATGCCTGGGCAGAGGTGCAGCCATGGGTGGGCCTGGGAGGGCATAGGCCCACCCACTTGGGATCCAGGCCCAGCCAATCAGAATTAGTTTTTCCCCACAAAAGGGCTTTATTACAGACAGAAATACTCCTCAGTTTCATCAGCTGTCCAGGTGGCTGGTCTCAGATGATCCCGCTGGTCAAGAAGCCGGTTGTGGAGGTCCTGAGCTGGCGTGGTTACACATGGTCTGCGGTTGTGAGGCTGGTTGGACGTACTGCCAAATTCTCTAAAATGACGTTGGAGGCGGCTTATGGTAGGGAAATTAACATTAAATAATCTGGCAACAGCTCTGGTGGACAATCCTGCAGTCAGCATGCCAATTGCACGCTCCCTCAAAACTTGAGACATCTGAGGCATTGTGTTGTGTGACAAAACTGCACATTTTAGAGTGGCCTTTTATTGTCCCCAGCACAAGGTGCACCTGTGTAACAATCATGCTGTTTAATCAGCTTCTTGATATGCCACACTTGTCAGGTGGATGGATTATCTTGGCAAAGAAGAAATGTTCACTAACAGGGATGTAGACAAAGTTGTGCACACAATTTGAGAGAAATAAGCTTTTTGTGGGTATGGACAAATTCTGGGATCTTTTATTTCAGCTCATGAAACATGGGACCAACACTTTATATTTTTGTTCAGTATATTTGTAAATTCTGATCATTGTTTGTTTGGGAATCATTACCCTACCTTACATTTCCCTCTATACAAGAATAAAGACAGTACTGAAATCTGAATCTGAAATGAAATTGCCATTGTCAATGCATTGCTCAAATGAACAGAACACCTTTTTTTTTTTAACAGATAAAGCAACACCTCAAGGCACAACGCCTCTCCCCTATTTGACCTAGATAGTTTGTGTGTATGTATTGATATGTAGGCTATGTGTGCCTTTTAAAAAATGTATTTTTTAATTGATGTAGTTATGTCCTGATCTTGTCTATTAATGTTCTGTATTATGTCATGTTTCATGTTTTGTATGGACCCCAGGAAGAGTAGCTGCTGCTTTTGTAACAGCTAATGGGGATCCTAATAAAATACTAAATACCATCCAAGTCAAGTGCATTAGGTTTGTTTTTACTACATCAAAGTCGAAATAGTTGAAGCACTAGAATTGTGGACCTGGTCAAGGAAATAGGAATTATCCATAAGCACACGGACCGAAACTGCACTAGCAAAGGCAGTATTGTAAGTGCTACTGTGGAATGATCGAAGTAGGAAGAACTATATTGCCACACCGTGGGCGGCGGAAAGATATACCAAGTAAACATTGCAAGTTCGAAATGCGGTCTTCCTGTGTGGGCGGGGTTAAGATTTGTATACGTAGACATTTGCACTGCTTTTATTCTTCCTTTTGAAAAACTGGGTACTCTAGACTAGAGCCAGCAGTACATCACTCACATTCCTAATTTTTTGTACAAATTAATAATAACCTACTTATTTGGAAGATGGTCGCCAAACAGAGGATTCGTATGGCCAACGAAAAACACAGCAAGAATATCACGCAAAGAGGCAACGTAGCCAAGTCCACGGTAACATTTTAACCATTTTCTTTCGGTTTGGGAACGTGTTAAGGAATATGTTAACGTTACGTAAATTGGTCAAAAGTGAACGCTTAATTGCGTGATTGTTTGGTAGTTTTTTTTTAAACATTCACATATATCAAGGTTCCTAGCCCATGTGCCAACAGTTCATGCTGTCAATCTTTGGTCAGCTGTAATAGTATCCATGAAAGTAAATTTTAACATCATGTCAAGTTGAGTTACATTTTTATTTAAACCGCTGTATGTTTCTGGTTAAGGTTTTTAGACGTATACATGTTTGACGTTTGCTGTTATTGCGTCCAAAATACCACAGTCTTCTACATTTTCTGCAGTTTCAAAACTGCAATTTTTTTTGTTACGGGTTGCTTTTGACATGATAGCATGACGTGTACTGTATTTGGTTTCACAGAGAAACCCTCAGGATGATAAGGTGGCCGTGGGACCCTGGCTGTTGGCGCTCTTCATCTTTGTGGTGTGTGGATCAGGTGAGTTGTGTTGACTCTTACTAACCGCTCTGAAATTGCTCCCACAAAATATCTTAACTAATCTTGAATGGCCAGGTTGCTCGTGGGAGTTTCGCCATCAGCTCGAAGATGGTGTCACCCCACCCCACACACACATTTTAGTGGCCCCCCTTGACAGCGGAAATTATTTTTTTACGTTTGTTAATTTTGTGCAATTCTACACATTTTACCATGGGGTGTAGAGAAAATGTTGAAGTTTTAAATCAAGTATGCTGCAATTCTACACTTTTTGCAATGGGGCGGAGAGATATGTTTTCAGTTTTTAATATCATATCTGAGTGAAAATGACTAACAAAATCAATGGGGACCTGCCAGTAATTGGACTAAGATAACAAGTTTAGATAGCTGGCCACAAAACTAACTTGGCAATCTAATAAATGTTTTGCTGACATGGGCTAATTGACTGACTTATCAGTGACTGACTTAACAAGAGAGAAACTGCTGATGCACAACCAAATTTGTGGGGGGGATTGCTCTGAGGACCTTCAAAGGCCCGCGGGCCCCCAGTTGCCCATTGCTGACCTAGACACTTTTGTTGATCTGAAAGGATTGGATAGGTGTATCCAACATTTTACTGAGCTTGTCATAAGGCCAGATGGAACCATATTGCTTACCTATCTGATCCTTTTAGTGTATAGGAGAGTGGTCCCCGAACGTAAGCCTATGCAACATTAACCTATTAAAAACAGTTCTGTAGCAATGAGGTTTGTAGTATGCTATATATGCCCAATACATTATTGGCTATGCTTGAATTGCCCTGCCAATGTTGTTCTTCTCAAAGCATTTTAAAATGATATTTCAACTTGAGGTATATAATCGCACTGGTAATAGATCATCATTTGTTGTATTACTTGTGAGGCACAGCTGAATGAGCATCAATTGAAATAATGTGCTTTCTTTATTTTACTGGACTGATTGTGCCTGCATCTGATGGTCAGTCTCAGCGGAGGGAGAGCATAAGAGGGTCCGCCTCTCACCGTCAGACCATCCCTCAGCTCTCCCCCCTCCACTAAGAGTAAGACTGACCAAAAAGGTGACACCATCTTCGAGCTGATGGCGAAACTCGAGTCTAAAAACATAGATCTCATAACCTTATCTCACAAAGTCTTTACAGTATTCAAACCAATGGTCCCTTTAGGGGTTTGTTAGTCTCTTGTGACAGCCTTAGGGTTTTGTCAGCCTTTGTACACATATTTTTTTGTCAATGTTTGCCTTTAACAGGCAATATCAACGTGCTTGTTGCCTACCTCAGCTAATATTGGGGAAGGACACAAGTTTTTATATTCTAGGACCTCCGCCAGCTAACTGTTGGAGACTGTTTGTCTTTTATCCTGGGTCAGATAATCTGGACTGTTTCTGTGTGGTCTGGTTTGACATTTTGGCTTACTACCTTGTTCTCCTGCTTTTGTTTGTCCCAGTCCAAGCTTTTATTAGTCAGTGGGTTTGGTAACACTTTAAGAGATTCCAGCAGAACATAATTGAGCAATTACATTAGTCACCTTGGAAATATAAATTAATACCTTGCTGGAAAGGAGGGATATAGTCACACTGGCGAGTTAAATGAAAGAAGAAAATGGGTAAAGTAGACTATTCCGGCGGAACATTCTGGTCAGTTCCCAGCTGTCGTCAGTGAATAAAAACCTTCACTTTATTAAAACGCTTCGTTCCAGGTCAGGGTTTTCCAACGTCATTCAAGGGATTCTTTAACTTGGCTAGTTTCCTTGTCCATGAACTCCAGTGTAGATTTATTTTCTTAACATTTGAATTCTTTCTCTCCACAGCTATCTTCCAGATAATTCAGAGCATTCGAATGGGCATGTAGGATGACATGTTCACCCCGTCCATTCCACTCAGTATCTGTCCAACCAAGAAACACCTCTGTCTCCGCTCTATGACGTCCCATTATCCTTCACTCAATATTCTCAGTCTTCTTAAGCTGCACAAAGCTAGGCCAAGGACGATGAGCCACTGTCTTGCACTTTTAGTGACTTTTTGTTCTTAACTTTTCTTATTTTGTTTCAACCTTTTCTATATTATTTGTCTTTCTGGTTACTTTTGGCAAGCTCTATCAAGTCATTCCTTCCTTGTGCCTTAAATGATAAAGGTGAACACTTTCCAGCACAAAAAAAGCCATAAGGTTCATTCCAATAGTGGGTTTTCTGAAATAATAAGGTAATGTGTTCTGTCAATCTCAGGCAAGTTGGCCATCTTGTGGAATCATGAGCCCTGTTTCTGTTTTTTTTTTTGGAAGTCTTATTTGCCACCACTTTGTTGTAATTTTTGTGTAATATGAACAATACAATTTCCACTTTAATTTAGTATATTGAAAGAAATTAATTTAATAAAAGATGATAATTGGTACATTATTTTGTGAGCATTTTTTATTTGAGATACATATCACCTAGAATAAATACTCACATATTTGGATGTGTGTAGTATACTAGCTAGTGTAGTGTCCTGAAAATGTATTTGCCTGAGTAGAGAATAAACTCTTTAGCCTCATCCACTGCCAGTTCGTTGCCACCAATGATGTATATAAACCCTGGATTGCTGATGCTACAGTGAGGGGGAAAAAGTATTTGATCCCCTGCTGATTTTGTACGTTTGCCCACTGACAAAGACATGATCAGTCTATAATTTTAATGGTAGGTTTATTTGAACAGTGAGAGACAGAATAACAAAACAATCCATAAAAACGCATGTCAAACATTTTATAAATTGATTTGCATTTTAATGAGGGAAATAAGTATTTGACCCCTCTGCAAAACATGACTTAGTACTTGGTGGCAAAACCCTTTTTGGCAATCACAGGCCAGACGTTTCTTGTAGTTGGTCACCAGATTTGCACACATCTCAGGAGGGATTTTGTTCCACTCCTCTTTGCAGATCTTCTCCAAGTCATTAAGGTTTCGAGGCTGACGTTTGGCAACTCGAACATTCAGCTCCCTCCACAGATTTTCTATGGGATTAAGGTCTGGAGACTGGCTAGGCCACTCCAGGACCTTAATGTGCTTCTTCTTGAGCCGCTCCTTTGTTGCCTTGGCTGTGTGTTTTGGGTCATTGTCATGCTGGAATACCCATCCACGACCCATTTTCAATGCCCTGGCTGAGGTAAGGAGGTTCTCACCCAAGATTTGACGGTACATGGCCCTGTCCATTGTCCCTTTGATGCAGTGAAGTTGTCCTGTCCCCTTAGCAGAAAAACACCCCCAAAGCATAATGTTTCCACCTCCATGTTTGACGGTGGGGCTTGTGTTCTTGGGGTCATAGGCAGCATTCCTCCTCCAAACACAGCGAGTTGAGTTGATGCCAAAGAGCTTGAGTTTGGTCTCATCTGACCACAACACTTTCACCCAGTTCTCCTCTGAATCATTCAGATGTTCATTGGCAAACTTCAGACGGGCCTGTATATGTGCTTTCTTGAGCAGGGGGACCTTGCGGGCGCTGCAGGATTTCAGTCCTTCACGGCGTAGTGTGTTACCAATTGTTTTCTTGGTGACTATGGTCCCAGCTGCCTTGAGATCACCGTTCTCATGATCATTGCAACTCCACAAGGTGAGATCTTGCATGGAGCCCCAGGCCGAGGGAGATTGACAGTTATTTTTTGTGTTTCTTCCATTTACGAATAATCGCACCAACTGTTGTCACCTTCTCACCAAGCTGCTTGGTGATGGTCTTGTAGCCCATTCCAGCCTTGTGTAGGTCTACAATCTTGTCCCTGACATCCTTGGAGAGCTCTTTGGTCTTGGCCATGGTGGAGAGTTTGGAATCGGATTGATTGATTGCTTCTGTGGACAGGTGTCTTTTATACAGGTAACAAGCTGAGATTAGGAGCACTCCCCTTAAGAGTGTGCTCCTAATCTCAGCTCGTTACCTGTATAAAAGACACCTGGGAGCCAGAAATCTTTCTGATTGAGAGGGGGTCAAATACTTATTTCCCTCATTAAAATGCAAATCAATTTATAACATTTTTGACATGCGTTTTTCTGGATTTTGTTGTTGTTATTATGTCTCTCACTGTTCATTAAAATTATAGACTGATAATTTCTTTGTCAGTGGGCAAACGTACAAAATCATCAGGGGATCAAATACTTTTTTCCCTCACGGTATGTATTGGCCATATTGGCACTCCCCAGTAGGAGCAGTCCTCCATAGGAATTAATGGAATTCTACAGTATTTCAATTAAACGTTTCAAAGACTAAATTAAATGTATTAAAGTATTTTTTGTTGTAGTGGGGACAGTAACATTAATCTATAAAAACTATACATTAAGGAAAATGTTTTTTATATATATTTTTTCATTTTAGTCATTTAGCAGACACTCTTATCCAGAGCGATTTACAGTTAGTGAGTGCATACATTTTTTTTCTTCCATATATATTTTTTTAAATATTTAGCTCACTAATGTAATTTAAAAGTATGCATTAAGGTGTCTGTACATTAATAAATGCATTTCTATAGCTTTCAAAATATTGTTTTAAATGGTGGGGGAGTGCCAAGTCATCTAGTGTAGATCATTGGTTGCAACATGGTGGTCCGTTATCTACGCCGCTGAGGCAGAGGGAGAGTTCGTTTTGCATGGCCTGTTGTCCCGGTTGAATGGAGTGGCGTTTTAATATTTTATTCTATTGGTCATTAAGTGAAATCTTTATACACCCGGGGCACCGGGCAATGCAAAACAAACTGGCCCAGAGATCAATATATAATGACGAGATGCTCATGTCTCTGCCCTAACATTGGAGTCATTGTCCCAAAGGCAGGAAGAGAAGGGAGTTGTTGCGTCCCAATCTATACCTCAGTGGTTCCAGTATGGCGTCCGGAGGATGGGCACAGATAGAACAATGAGGAAGATATTTCACCGGATGTATAAATGTGAAGCATCCGCTTGGCGTTTCCACTCACTACCAAATATGGTAGAGAGAGGAAGCCCAGTGGCCGGCAGTGGGAGGAGATGGAACGAGATGGCCGACATTCCGCTAATTGTCTCACCGATGAAACGTTTGATCGCAATAAAGTTTTCTGTTCCCAAAACTAGAATCTGTTACGAACAGAGTGGATGAGGTATTTTAGACTTTCCTCTTTGCCAAAAAAATTGCGTTGTTTAGAAAGAGTGCAAAGGCAAATTGAGTTATTGCACACGAGCACTTCAGAGTAGGCGTTACTTAACGGAAATATGCAAATGTTGGCTAGAACGCGCCAATAGGATCTCGCTAGCTCGTGTTTGGCTCTGCCCACTATGACTTATTCGTTGAAACGACAGGCTGTGGTCTATCTTAGTTTAGTTATAAAAAATATTTGGTATTGATTTATGGAAAGGAGTTGGTGTTTTGAAATCAAGCAGCACCCCTTTTGACACATCCACTAATCCGAGACCAGTCCGGGACGCAGCTACCTATACTTGGGCGGGAAGGCAGGCGACAAGTTTAGGTTAAAAAAAGCCCATATATGCATTGGGTTTGTTTTGGGGAGAGTAAAATATCTCGCTTCGCCTCTTCCTCTCTGACTGAGGTGATTTTACCGGAAATGTCAGGCCACTCTTTAATAATTACGTAATTTCCTGGAAAGGTGTCCCGGTTTTTGTAGTTCCTGTGGTGTAAACTGTCATTCCGAGGACTGCATTAGTTAGCTAGAAATACTCTGTTGATAATCCGTCTATTAGTCCTCTTTCCCTCGAGCTGGTGGTACAGTTCAAGACATTGGACTAACATTTCCTGAGTGTTGGGTGCACTGTTCTAGCTAGTTAGTGAATTTAGCGTTAACCAACAGCTAGCTTGTTAGCAAGCAACAGAGAGCAAACCAACTTGACAGTAGTTAGCTATAAAATATTTCCCTAGCACACTGCCTATGAGCTAGATAGCTTGCAGCAGTAACGTTACCTACTTCTACACGGCAACCCCCAAGCACAGAACAACGGTAAGTACGTGAATGAAATCATGTATTTTTAGTTAGCTGAGTATGATGCCGTGTTCACAACAACTGGGAACTTAGAAATCTCCGATTTCAGTGTATTCAGGACAACTGGGAACTCGGGAAAAACAAACTCGACTGGGAAAATTCGTTTTGAACGGTCATCCAACTCGGAATTCCAAGTCGGGAACTCGGGCCTCTTTTTAGAGCACAGACTTTCCGACTGAAGATCAGTGACGTCATGATTCGTTCACTTTACGGGTCATGGACCGGTGTCCCGCGGCTCAGCATAATCGAATCCGCCCACTGATTTAGCTACCAGAGGGTTGTACTTGTCAGGCACAGCTGGTTACCTAGCTGCATACTTTGTTGGCTTGTCAAATGTACATTTACGTCATTTAGCAGACGCTCTTATCCAGAGCGATTTACAAATCTGAGTTAGAGATGGGATCTGTCTGCATGGTGACTCAATCCTGCAAGCTAAGGTCACTGTCAGCTAAACTAAAACTACGTGTGAAAACCTCTACCGCCACCTTTCTCTCTTGTATCAATGACATGAATCAATTGCTGTAGATAGGTGAGCCTTCCACGGGATCAGTTAGTAGCTAGTGGTTAGTGACTTAACAAGCATTGTTATTTTCCAGTCTACAGACCAGAGACCATCTTCTAGCAAAGTGTGTGTGAGACAGAGGAAGGTAACTGCCAAAATAAAGGAAACACCGACATAGTGTCTTAATGAGCGTTGAGCCACCAGAACAACGTAACGTGCCTTGGTATAGAGTCTACAAGTGCCTGGAACTCCATTGGAGGGGTGCGACACCATTCTTCGTTGAGAAATTACATCATTTGGTGTTTTGTTGATGATGGTGGGAAACGCTGTCTCAGGCACTGCTACAGAATCTCCCATGAGTGTTCAATTGAGATCCCCTTTGCCTTGTAATTCTGTTACCAAAAAACCCACATACTGTATCTTTAAGATATTTTATAATTTCTCTCCCTCATGAGGAGGGAGACTAATGAAAGTTCACAAAGTAACAAGTAAAGGTAGACCTACCAATTAGTGTTTTTACTGATATCAAGTTTGTTTATTAATTAGTAATGAAATTACTGCTATTGAATTAGCTACTATGGGAAATCATAGTAGTCACAACCACAGTTGTTTCACCTTCTACTGTCCTCCCTTCCACTGGCATACTGTTATGTTCAGCTCATAACTGTTTTTTTCCCCCTCTCTGTTGTCTGGTGGTCAAAGCAAGACTATGAACAGTCTGGACAATCCCTCCCTCTCTCAGCCTCTCCCTCTCTCTCTCTGCCGCTCTCTCTCTTTCGTTCAGTTAATGTCACCTCTCCCCCATCTACCATGCCACCTACCCTCTTTCCATTTTACTGTAACAAGCATCCTCACTCACTGAGCACCGATCGACACCGGACCTCCATGGACGTTGAAAAGTAGCTGAAATTTGGACAGTCCGCCCTGGCCGGACCAAATCTGAACCAAACATAGACGTCTATGTTTCACAAGTTTGGACAGTACAGTAAAGAAAAGTAGAGTACAGTAGATCACACAAGTAGATTACAGTATACTGTACTGAACATATCTACTGAGCTGTATACTGTGCTCTACTGAGCTCTACTGTACACTGTGCTCTACTGAGCTCTACTGTATACTGAACTCTACTGAGCTCTACTGTGTACTGTGCTCTACTGTATACCGTGCTGTACTGAGCTCTACTGTATACTGTGCCCTACTGAGCTCTACTGTATACATTTCAATAACCAAAATATTTGTCATGTTGTAGCTGACACCCCATTCTTTCTGCAGACAACTTTTAATCTTACTTTGGAGCAGATATTTGGAAAATGTGGTTCCATACATTTTTGGGGGATATTTTACCTTAATTATTTTACCAAACTTTGCATCTGCACAGTTCTTCCAGTAAATATGTTTTTGTGAAATATTCAGTGTAAATCGTTCAAAGTAGTTCTTGTGCATACAGTTTTATGGTTTGTTAAACTTTGAAATCTATGTTTTTTTTTTGGCATACATTTCAAAGTGAAAAATCAGAGTCAAAGCGTAATTCTGGTACGGTGGCATTGCCCGAGTATCGCCCATGGTCTTCTTATAGCTACTCATTTCAGACATGACATGCGAATGTAAATCTCAAACAGTATGCTAAACTGTGCCAGCTATCCGAGAAAGGTTGAGCTTGTTGCGCCACACAGGTATCCAACCACACTGTTGATTGTGAAACTATAGCCTAATAATATACGTTCACACTAGCTACATAATTGTCTCCTGAGTGGCGCAGTGGTCTAAATAGCTGTGCCACTAGAGATCCTGGTTCGAATCCAGGCTCTGTCGCAGCCGGCCGCGACCGGGAGACTCATGGGCGGCGCACAATTGGCCTAGCGTTGTCCAGGGTAGGGGAGGGAATGGCCGGCAGGGATGTAGCTCAGTTGATAGAGCATGGCGTTTGCAACGCCAGGGTTGTGGGTTCGATTCCCACGGGGGACCAGTATGAAATTTTTTAAACAAAAAAAAATATATGTATTCACTAACTGTAAGTCGCTCTGGATAAGAGCGTCTGCTAAATGACTAAAATGTAAATGTAAAATAATCCAGTAGTCCCTTTTGACTAAAGAATATTAAAGCCGACGGCCAAACATTTAATTTTTTTACCCCTCAGTGTGAGTGCGAAGGAATGTCCGGAATGAGGCGGGGCAAAGTTTTTTCCTGAGACAATTCTATTACATAATTTGTAAGAAATAAGCCTATGACCTTCAGTAGGGTCAAGATGACTTCTTATTTGGTCATCCTGGTACTGGTTAATGTTGTTCTTCCATGTAGACAACACAATCTGTTTGTTTGAGAGTACCAAACTGCATGTGATTGCTTTTGCTCTCTAAGCAAGATGGTGGTTAGTGTGTGTACACGTGACTTTTTCCCTTTCAGCCCTGGGATGGAAGCCCACAGCTCAAGCCGGTCAAGCCTGTCCAGGAAGAGGAGGAGAGATGGATCCAAGGGAGAGGCCGAGGAGGTAGAGCGGCCAGGGAAAGTCCCAAGATCCACTGTGGTGAGTGAGGAAGAGAGAGGCTTTGTGTGTGTGCAGACCTCGTTTATGGGGAGTTGTGTGTTGGGTAAGATAGGCAAGTGAGTAATATGATTCGTATGAAGGAAAACCTTATCTCATTGTTGTCATGGTAATAATGTGTGTACCTACACTAGGGTTTAAAAGATCCCGCCCTCTTTGCTGATGAGCTGGAGTCGGCTGAGGACACTCCATACCTGCGAGTCAGTATGGAGGAGGCCAAGAGGGGAACTCCATGTGAGTCACGCACACACACGGTCTAATACTCACTGAAAAACAACCTCTTATTCACTCACCCCAAATCTACCGTTCCAAAGACTTGAACAGTTCTGAAAATGTATAGAACAGGGGTATTCAACTCTTACCCTACGTGGTCCGGAGCCTGCTGCTTCTCTGTTCTCAGTGGTGTAAAGTACCTAAGTCATTTTCTTTTGGTATCTGTACTTTACTATTTACATTTTTTGACACCTTTTACTTCACTACATTCCTAAAGAAAATGATGTACTTTTTACTCCATACATTTTCCCTGACACCCAAAAGTACCCGTTACATTTTGAATGCTTAGCAGGACAGGAAAACATTCAAATTCACACACTTATCAGGAGAACATCCTTGGTCATCCCTACTGCCTCTGATCTGGCGGACTCACTAAACACATGCTTCGTTTGTAAATGGCCTGAGTGTTGGAGCGTGCCCCTGGCTATCCGTAAATAAAAAAATAAAAAAATAGTGCCGTCTGGTTTGCTTATGTAAGGAATTTGAAATTATTTTTACTTTTGACACTTAAGTATATTTGAGCAATTACATTTACTTTTGATACATAAGTATATTTAAAATCAAATACTTTTAGACTTTTACTCAAGTAGGATTTTACTGGGTGACTTTCACTTTTACTTGAGTCATTTTCTATTAAGGTAGCTTTACTTTTACTTAAGTATGAGAATTGGGTACTTTTTCCACCACTGTCTGTTCTGCCTGATAATTAATTGCACACACCTGGTCTCCCAGGTCTAAATCATTCCCTGATTTTAGAGGGGAACAATGAAAATATGCAGTGGAACTAGCTTCAAGGTCCAGACTCCAAAGTTGAGTTTGAGGGGTATAGAATGTTGCTCTAATGAAGTGACTTGTGATTGGCTGTCATCACCAGCATGTCCCTCCTCTCTCCCACAGTTCATAGGCCGGTGCGGGTGTATGCAGATGGGATCTTTGATGTGTTCCACTCAGGCCACGCCCGGGCTCTCATGCAGGCCAAGGGCCTCTTCCCCAACACACACCTCATTGTGGGCGGTGAGTGTCTCACTCTGGCTGTGTCAACCTTTCTTCTCAACATGTCTTGAGTGCCTTCCTGACAGTTTAATGTCTGTCTATTTGGTCCTTCAGCAGAAATTGTTTTTCAGAGAATTAACTTTACATAGATGGTGCTTAATTAAGTAAAGTACTAGTACTAATTCAAGTGTATTCGATTTCCCTGAACCTCTGTGCTTCTCTTCATCATGTCTCAGTGTGTAGTGACGACCTGACGCACAAGTTCAAGGGGTTTACAGTGATGAACGAGGACGAGCGCTACGATGCAGTCAGCCACTGCCGCTACGTGGACGAGGTCGTCAGGAACGCGCCCTGGACGCTTACGCCCGAATTCCTCGCCAAGCACCGAGTGAGTGTGCAAAAGAAAGTTAGAGGGAGGGAGGGATGGGGGGGGGAATGGAAAGCAATGACATGCTGATTGGTCTGATAGAAGTGTAGTGTTCAAAGGGTATGTATTAGAGTATGTACACTGAACAAAAATTATACATGCAATAATTTCAAAGATTTTACTGAGTTACAGTTCATATAATTCCTTAGGCCCTAATCTATGGATTTCACATGACTGGAAATACAGATTATGCATCTGTTGGTCACAGATACCTTTAAAAAAAAGGTAGGGGCGTCAATCAGAAAACCAGTCAGTATCTGGTGTGACCACCATTTGCCTCATGCAGCAAGACATCTCCTTCACATAGAGTTGATCAGGCTGGTGCTTGTGGAATGTTGTCCCACTCCTCCCCAATGGCTGTGCGAAGTTGCTGGATATTGGTGGTAACTGGAACATGCTGTCGATCCAGAGCATCCCAAACATGCTCAATGGGTGACATGTTTGGTGAGTATGCAGGCCATTTTCAGTTTCCAGGAATTGTGTACAGCTCCTTGCGACATAGGGCCGTGCATTATCATGCTGAAATATGAGGTGATGGCGGCAGATGAATGGCACGACAATGGGCTTCAGGATCTCGTCACGGTATCTCTGTGCATTGAAATTGCCATCGATAAAATGCAATTGTGTTCGTTGTCCGTAGCTTATGCCTGCCTGCCCATACCATAACCCCACCACCACGATGGAGCACTCTGTTCACAACTTTGACATCAGCAAACCACTCGCCCACACGACACCATACACGCCGTCTGCCAGGTACAGTTGAAACCGGGATTAATCTGTGAAGAGCACACTTATGCAGCGTGCCAGTGGCCATCGAAGGTGAGCATTTGACCACTGAAGTTGGTTATGACGCCGAACTGCAGTCAAGTCAAGACCCTGGTGAGGACGACGAGTATGCAGATGAGCTTCCCTGAGATGGTTTGTGATAGTTTGTGCAGAAATTCTTTGATTGTGCAAACCCACAGTATCATCAGCTGTCCGGGTGGCTGGTCTCAGACGATCCCGCAGGTGAAGAAGCTGGATGTGGAGGTCCTGGGCTGGCGTGGTTACACGTGGTCTGCAGTTGTGAGGCCGGTTGGACGTACTGCCAAATTCTCTAAAACGACGCTTATGGTAGAGAAATGAACATTCAATTCTCTGGCAACAGCTCTGGTGGACATTCCTGCAGTCAGCATGCCACACCTGTCAGGTGGATGGATTATCTTGGCAAAGGAGAAATGCTCACTAACAGGGATGTAAACATTTGTGCACAACATTTTAGAGAAATAAGCTTTTTGTGTGTATGGAACATTTCTGGGATCTTTTATTTCAGCTCATGAAACATGGGACCAACACTTTACATGTTGCATTGATGTTTTTTGTTTGTGTATATTTGTGTGTGTGATGTCATCCGTCTCTCGGTCACCCCGATAACCCACCAGATCGACTTTGTTGCCCATGATGACATCCCATATACATCAGCAGGCCAGGATGACGTTTACAAGCACATCAAGGAGGCGGGTGGGTACCATGACAACCAGCAGGAATGACAACCATGAACGTCCTGGTACCCTGTGTCTGTCACGATGACCCTTTGCCCTTTTGACCCCTTGTGCCTCCAGGCATGTTTGCGCCCACCCAGAGGACGGAGGGCATCTCCACCTCGGACATCATCACGCGCATCGTCCGCGACTACGATGTGTACGTGAGACGCAACCTGCAACGTGGCTACACTGCAAAAGAGCTCAACGTCAGCTTTATAAATGTGCGTTAACACTTCATGTTGCTATCATTCTTATTAGTAGTAATGATGGTATTTGGTTGTGATTATCATGTGATAACTAGCAATAGTTGAGGTAGCCATCGGTCTATTTGGCAGAGGACAGTAGAAGCAGAATTAATTGAAGTAGTTGAATGAAAGCGGCTAAGAAATGTTTACTAGTCTAGTGCATCCTCGCTTGCCAAGGTCTGGATTTATGACTCTGCACTGGTATGACACTGTGCCCCTGTCCTTCAGGAGAAGAAGTACCACCTGCAGGAGCGTGTGGACAAAGTGAAGAGGAAAGTGCGTGACGTGGAGGAGAAGAGTAAAGAGTTTGTGCAGAAGGTGGAGAACAAGAGCATCGACCTCATCCAGAAGTGGGAGGAGAAGTCACGGGAGTTCATCGGCAACTTCCTGCAGATGTTCGGCCCTGAGGGAGCACTGGTGAGAACTTCTGTTCTCTCTCTCTCTGTGTGTGGTGTAAGGTAGACTAGAATGGTGTATTTTGTGGCAATCCTAATTTCCTGCTCTGGGCAATAATATAGTGATGAGTGTGGTTTTCCATGGAAGATTTGTATCGTGCTGTAGATCAGTGAGCACGGGCCAACATGGATTTATTGGTTCTATAGCCTAAGAACAACCAATGAACTTGTAATCTTGACTGAGATGCCACCTTCTCCTTCTCTGTAGAAGCACATGTTGAAGGAGGGCAGGGGCCGGATGCTGCAGGCCATCAGCCCGAGACAGAGTCCCAGCAGCAGTCCCACCCGTGAGCGCTCTCCCTCCCCCATCTTCCGTATGCCTTTCTTAAACAAGGCCTTGGCCTCAACCCACCACAGCGCAGCACGGGGATACCCCATCAGTGAGGATGATGATGAGTCTGACGAAGGTTAGGGCTCCCATTTCTCGGTTTGTTAATCCTGCTCCTCGGTCCATCGACAGTATCAGCGTTCAAGCCCCTCCAACCAATCATCAGTATGTCCAATTATCTGTACAGCGTTGTCCTGCACTTCATTTTTTTTCAATTACTGGTGTCCATTCCATATGTAATGTACCTCATCAGTCAGAAGGGGGTTAATGCGCAATTAGTTTGACAGCTAATGTTGCATTTCTCACTGATAGAACATTTGCTGATATTTCGATGTACGCTTCCTTCCTTATAACCTTAGTAGGTAGATTTTTTATTTTGTTAACCATGAGTCTAGTGGGGAATTCCGTTTTGTGTTGTCTGCTATATAGGTTGAGGGGTGTTTGGTGCACTGTTACATTCCTCCACAGATGATCTGAGAGTATGTGATATTTAGCAATATAGTAACCATCAGTCCCTTAATGACTCCCCCTTGGAGTGTTTGTTTGCGTCTGAGTGTGCATATGTATTTGTGTAAACTGCTAGTTTTTGTGTAGGCATGTCGATGGCCTCCATCCATGGACTGATCAGGACTCAGCTTGACCTTTTTGCACATAATAATACTAATAGTTGGTCTCGATGGTCTGACTCGGTCAGTCTTTGGACAGAGGTTTTCAAAGCATAGTACCCAGCGTTTGAACTAGAGATCTTGTTCAGTAGGGCTCAAGAGAACTTGTTTTCAGTAGGTTCTCACTGAACCTGAAAACACTTATGTGCATAATAACGAGACCTCATTTTAAAAATGATTACATGTAATACAATTTTATCCCTGTTACATCTCTCCCTCCTGTATTTGGAGTCACTTGATTTTGGCTGTTGACCCATCCCTTGCTAGTCTTTGTCTCTATGGTGGCAAAGCAGGAGTCTTGGTTTTATTTCCTATATAATTGAAATATGGGATTTTAAGCATATACTGTGTAGACAATCCAACATGGTTACAATAATAAGGGATGATGGGGAAAGGATATGATCCATCAATTTACATTTTACTGGACTGATTATTTGGGATCTCTGAATAAATCCATTAAAATGCTGCTTCTCATTAGGGGCATGTCTATATCTCTTGGTGGCAAAAGTTGTCTGATATGTAAGAAGCCAGTACTAACCTTTCTACCTGTCAGATACAAATGTACATGGCTCTAAGTACATAGTTTTAACCATTATTTTACTGTTTGGCCTGAGTTTGTTTAGCTCCTGAATGTGCAGGCATAAGATACCAGGGAACATGGAAATGGAATTTAAAAAACTTTAACCATAACCTTGTGAAATTTCTGTGTGAAATCAAATCCATGGCTCAGAGTTTAATCCTCAATCCCGTTTCTTCTCAAATCGAACAGTAATCGACGCTGCATGTTGCATTGTTCAGAAACATGTATTTTCCATAATGTATGTAAAAAGTTCCTCTTTCTTTGGGAAGGCAGATGCAGCACTTATGCGTTATCAAGAGTAAACTCAATTTTTACATATAAACTCTGTACCATAAGTCATTACTGCTTGACATATGTCATTTTGTTTTGAGCAGACTTCACCATTTGCTTTGAACAGGGCACTCTGTGCTAACTCAGCCACTCCGGGCCAGCTTAATCAGATCCCCTCATGGCTGTGTTCCAGTATGTCTACATTGCAGACGCATGCTCGATTTCACAACGCCTAGATAGGTGTTTATCACATCAGGTAACCACATGATATTGTGCATTACATGACATGGCATAACCTTTGGTTGATGCAATGACTACAATGTAGTCGGCCTCGAACACAACTAATCCTTCACTAGCACGTGTTCACTTGCAAATAGTCAAGTGAAAACAAAGACGAGAGGCGGAGCTGGTTACGTGATCAGATTTTACTGTACGGTCACCAGGGTTCACAAACAAGGAGCCAGTCAAGGTGATGTGACCTTCAGGGGCTCCAAAGAGTCAGGATGAGTCCCACAAACCGCCACATCGAAACAGTCAATTATTAATAAGCTCACATGCGATCAGACAGAACAGTTCAGAGGGGAGAAAGGAACTAGTTAGATAAAAGAAGATGGACCCAAAAAGCCATTTAGAAAAACAACTGATCTCAAGGGGGCACTTCAAAGACCTTGACCCTATAATAGAAACTGCAGACTGGACTGTAACACTGGTTTTCACATTATGTGTATATTTTGGGATGTGAGCACTCAGTCGGACCTGACGAAGATCCGTTTCGGATCAATACGTTGTCACTAAAGCGGTGAATTGGGAGTATAGACAGTGTGCAGGCCTTCCTGTTCTTTACAAGTATTCTTTGAGCCCAGCACCTAAGTTAAGGATATGCGTATGACCTCAAACGTTTATATTCTTTCTACACAGGACCAGTTTGTTTACAAGTTAATCATACTAAGAGATGCGATACAACGTTTCACATCTGTGTGTTATACCATTTATTTTTATTCATCCCCAACATTGAGTAAAGGATAAGGGGAGAGATTGGGATGGAGAGAAGAGAGAGGGACAGAAGAACATATGTAGAGGGAGACTGCTTGGTATACCTCTCCTCAGGCTCACTCTAACATTAGCAGCGAGTCTCGTAGATGCCACTTCGGCCAATGTAGCGCACCCATTTGATAACATCATGGTCACTGTAATTCAGCTTGGACTCAAACACCTTCAAGTAACGCACCTTCAGCCCAGAGGGGGCAAATGGAACCTGAGGGGCACAAAGATATCCAGGTTAGGAGTTTTAATTGTAATACTGTAAGCTAAAATGCTCAAATGATCATTGTGTGACTGCAGCCTTACCTCAAAGTTCATGGAGATGGGAGGGCGCGCCCACTTCTTCTTATCGTTGGTGGGCAGCAGCTCGATTTCAGCACTGATCTGAGACTCCTTCATCCCAGCCATGCGCTTGATCCTACATGCAGGAAACAAACATTCAACATCTGAAAGAGCCGTTCAAAATGAAAGACAGGGATACAAAACATGAGGGTGATCTGGGGTACCATGATGGAGAACCGGAGGGTTGAAATAACTCACTTCCATACGATTGCGTTCTCGCTGGCCTTGTACTTGGCCTTGCCCTTCATGCAGATCACCTGGACACCGCTGGTGTTGAGCGGCGTGGGAATGCGCACCTGGTGCAACGGAAAACAAGTTAAGTCATAACATGATAAACAAAGTCTCATTCAGCAGACTAAATGTGAACTTGTAAGAATAACAACCATTGCAATTAACAGACCAAGCATAAACAAAGGGTTATGAGAAAACATACCAACTTCAAAAGAGTAAGAGATTTACCTCAAGGTCAGATGAAAGACCAGTTTCACAAACAAAGTGACAGAACGCCACAATCTAAAAGGAAGAGGCTGAATAACTACCTCAATTTTCTGGGCCAGTAGCGAGGGTTTGAAGTTGGACTTGATGACCACTTTGACCTCCAGCTTGGTGCGGCCCACCTCCCGGACCAGCGGAATGACTCGAAAAGGTAGGATGATGTCTTTAGTGGTGCGGTACCTGGACGCAGGGGTAAAACCACACCAAACTCATCTCAAACAGACACATGCAGGGTGCAACAGGGGGGAATGGCTCAAATCATTGGACACATTAATGCACACAGACAAAGCGAGAGGACTTACAAATACAAACATGCGAGCACATGCACAGGGTCGATATAGGTTGAAGTTTAGCCTGTGACACACTTACCTCATGAGCTCATACTCTCCATCCGGGGGGATGAAGCTGATGCTGCGCTCCGAGTCAAACTTACTGAGACGCACACACTGGTTGAACGTACAGTCGTCAATGGCTATGGACTGCTTACCACTGGTACTACAGGGGCAGAGGGAGAAGAGAGTTGAACGTCTACGCACCCATACATACTGACACATTCAAACGAACACACAAACCAAACCACAGTCATTTAAAACGCACTGCTCTACGTGCCCCACTTCCTAATACAACACAGAAACACACAATACATACAGGTATTTACACAAAAAGGGAAACCATGGCTACCACAACACAGCAACCCAGTGGATGCTAACCATCTCCATCACTGTCAAAGACTGGGTCAGGGTTAAGGGTCAAGCGGGTAAACTAACAACACTCTCAGTGATGACACAACCGTTGGGCAGTCCACTAAATATTTGAGGAGGCTAGTCAGATTTGTATCAATTAGCAGTCACACTAGTTGACTGCTGAAGCACAAATTAATACAGTAATTACAGTAAATATTGGAGCCACCTCAAATGCTTAGTAAAGCAGTCACCATAAATGACACGATAGACAAGACAGCGGGACATATGGAGGTAAGGCCAGATATCAATACAGTACCTTCCTCCTCCCCCTAAATCACTGAGGTACAGCACAGAAAAAGAGAAGGAAAGAAAGGAGAGAAAAATCAAAAGGAAAACAAATTGTAAGCCTTAACCCAAGCTCTATATAGAAGTCATAGTCCAGGGACTGACTGACAGGGCGGTAAACTTTCTGGATTTTTTAAAATAATAATTCTACACAGAGGGTTAAGTCCGAATCAACACTATTGCCTATCAGTCTGAAATGTCTAAGTTGAAAATCAATACAAGACATACATTCTTTATCTGATTCTGCAGCACAAGTATCTTATATTTAGCTCCCTCCCTTTAATGTCAAGCTCTGTCCAGGGTTGGAGTCAATAGCTTTTCAATTCAGAAACAAAATTCTAATTCTCCTCATGAAATGTGCATTTCAGTATACTTCCTGAAACTAAGTGGACTCTACCCCAACCCTGGCTCTGTCCAAACAGCCCCTCTTACTCACCTCTTTCCCGCCTCATCAGTGACCCCGCCTTTACCCGCCTTATCAATGACAATTTTGTCATTCATGCCAAATTTGCACTCTGGCATTCCGCTCAGGTAGCTCTTCATTACCACACGGCCGGACACATGGGCGCTCAGGACCTGACCTGGATGGGGTCAAATTGAAAGGGTCAATCACTAGGGAACAACGTTACTACTACAACGCCTCTAGATACTTTAGGCCGTTTACGTTCAAGTGTTATGACCAACGTTCACCTTGAGGCGACATGAGCAGGTTGACACTCTCCAGCACATCCAAGAAGAGCTCATTGCGTCGATACTTGATGCCTTCGCGACGCCAACCAATCTGCCCCGTCACCTGACTAGTGATCTGAGACTGCTCTTCCTTTGTCTGGAAAAGGAGAGAGAGAGAAAGATCAACAGGATATCAAGTGGAAAAAACAGGGTATGGTTGCAACCAGGCCCAATGTCCCAAATATAACTGAAATGAACATTACCTGATGCTGCATCCGGCCGTGTCCACAACCCCAGAGAAATAAAAAGAGAGGAGGAACAGTCACAAAACAGATGGCCCACAGTTCTGCTAAAGAGCCCATTGCAGAGCGTTACAGCAGTGACAAGGAGATACTCCTCATCCTCACCTGGCCCTTGATGCCCTGCTGAGTGATGAAGGTCTTCAGTGCTCCTGTCTCAGAGTTCTGGGGATACCCAAAGTCCAGGATCTCTGCACAAAACAAAGACACCAAATGATGAAGAGGGTAAGAGAGGAACCAAACAGGGAAAATAGAAAGAAGATCCAAATGGCATGAGAGTGAGAAATTCGGTCAGCCATAGTTACCGTCGAGCAGCTCGTAGATCAGCACAAAGTTGTTCTTGATGTTCTCTTCGCTGATCTTGCCAAAGTAGGAAGCCATGACATCACACATCTTGTAGAGGAACTCAAACACCATGGCGGCGTTGACATTCTGCTTGGTGACCACCGCCAGCCAGATGTTGGAACGCTTGACATGGAAGAAGCTGGTACGTGCAATGTTGGACACTGGAGAGCGCACCTGCTGCCGGGCATGGATCACATTCACACGGAATGCGTCCACCGCGTTGCGCCTGAGGAAAGGAGGTAGGGCGAGGAAGAGAAGGACTACTTTCATGTTATGAGTAAATGTGGAAGAGGATGTACCTCCATCTGCAATTGATCACAACAAAAGCTAACTCAGAATACGCTCTTGGTTAATAGTATACAAACATCAGTCTCCCTGAGGCTTTCAGAGGGATAGTCAACTGTCAAACACTTGTCAACTACACTATCTACCATATTCTCTTTCCAGACCTTCTACTTGATATTCAAGTTCCTGGTAGAACAGAAAATACTATTTGCCCCCCCCAAAAAAAACAACTAGTAACCTTCCGAACATCCTAATAGTATGCTTTGCAGAGGACAGCACACATTAACTTGTCTGAGAGCTGCAAGATGACTGAATCGTCCCAAACTGACGTGACCATTTCAGCACTGGTAAAGCAATCTTTTGTTTAGAGGGTGAAGATTAGTGGGGAGGTTAGAGTGCTTTAGAGATCTGGTGTGGATGTATAAATAACTGAAGGGTTTACTACAGATGAGGCAGCATGTCCAGACAAGACTCCTGAGTCCCAATCAGTGATGTTCAAGATTCAGGAATAGATTCCCAGGTGCAGAGTCTACAACTTCTCTGAGCTTGACAGTGAAACTGACAGTGACCATAAAGCTACTGCCTAGTAGTTAATCATACCTTTATTCATTTGAAACCAGGACATATTCTGGGAACCAGTTCCCAGAAATATTAATCTCTGGAACCGATTTCAGATGAGGGACTCTGCAGAGTCAGACTCGGCACTAGTTAGCCTCTCCCCATGAGAGTGGACAAAGAGAGATGGAGGTAGTGATGGAAGGGGCACTGGAACCATAGATGATCATTTAACAGGGTCTGACCTTATGTTTTTTAGAAGGCAATGTCCATTAAGGAGGGAAGAGATACTTGTGGGTAAGGGGAGGACAGTAGATGCACCTCAGAGGCATTGGTTGGTTGCAGTAATTGAGTTTGTGTTCTTTGGTCACTGATATGTCAGGTGACATGCTGAAAGGGTCATCGGGTAGTTGCTGTGGGTCAGAGGACATGCATTGGGAGTCACTGATTGGTTGCCATGGGTCAGGGGACATGCTTGATAGGCTGGTGCATCGCTTACCTATTCCTACAGTGGCCAAGATGTACAGATGGAGGAAAATGGCAAAAAGATAGAGGTAGAGGGATGATATGAAGGAGGAAAGAGACAGAAATGTACACAAAGACATTTTTCATGCATGTACACAGATTGAGTAACATGGTGTTTAAAAGGCTATCCATTGAAGAGGACCACTGTAGTAAACAACCAAATGCAGTCTAAATGAGTTAAATTAACTACTTTTTCCACCAATTGTGGTTGAATTTAAGACTTAAGAGAGTGGAGTCTAATCGAAGGCAACTTGAATGTGTCAACAAATCTTGTGTCTGGAAAATCTAGGCATTATTTTGCGGTGCCAAGCAAGATCATCAATCCTAGATGTAGTGGTGGGGTTAGATAGATGGGTGAGAAAATCAAATCAAATCTTCAAATAAAAATGTAGTTGTCACATGCTTCCCAAACTAACAGTGAAACGCTTACTTACGGGCCCTTCCCAACAACGGAGAGAAAGGGGGAAAAAAAGGGAAATAATTTAAAAATAATAACACGAAGAATAAATACACAATGAGTAACGATAACCTGGCTATATACACAGGGTACCCATACCAAGTCGATGTGCAGGGGTACCAGTACTGAGTCGATGTGCAGGGGTACGAGGTAATTGAAGTAGATACAGTATGTACATATAGGTAGGGATAAAGTGACTAGGCAACAGGATAGGTAATAAACAGTAACAGCAGCGTATGTGATGAGTCAAGAGTTAATGCATTGGCTACTGCAGATATCTTGCATTGTCTTAGACCTGATACAACAGCCATTATCCCCAAGATGATAGCTCAGTTATTTTGTTTGGTGGGTGCACTGTGCTAATGACCTAATGAGTAAATGACCTAAGGAGTAAGTTCAATACCTATGTAGTTACATTGAACTCCTAACAGATTCGCCCCCATCTCCCCAACTTACTTCAGGCCAACCAGGTAGACACCACTTACCATCTCCCTCTCCCCTTACAATATCATTGTAATAGAACCTCCATCCATAACTCTCCAAACCAATTACCACCTCACTTACCCTATATCATCGCGATAGACTCGGGAGATAAGCACCTCCCCTTTGTGGTTGTAAATGAACAGTCCTCCGATCATCGTTGCTGTTCCTTAGTCCAAACTGGCCATGGTGAAAACGAACCCCACCTGATTAAGAGCGAGATATGACATTTCATCAGGTCAAATTCCTGGTACATGCAAATGTCCTTGGCAAATAAAGAGGATTCTGAATGACCCATATATATCAAGTATGTTTCCAGCAGAGTATCCTATATTACTCCACCACAGTGGTGAATAAGTCTGTCACAATGGTGATGTACATACACACACACATTTGACGCCACCCTTCTTAAGTACGATTAATGCTGGGTAGGTTAGATGTGATAATGGTAGCTATTAAAGCTACAGTCAATGTTGGAGAACTCCAGCAGTAGCTAGCTATGAATATGGGAGTGGTTTTAGGTTCATATGGAGGGTTGCTGGTATTGGACTGTGGAATAGACAATTTCCTGATTATGTCAAGTGGGGGCCAAATACTGTATTATTCATTTTCTGTAGTTTATAATAAGATGAGGCGTATGAATACTATGGAATGAAAGACATGCCTGGAATTCTAGCTGTGTGTGACTTCCTGTTATAGTACATAGGACAGAAAGCGAGTTTCCCATTCCAGCACAACATGGCTTTACTTATTTGCTGGACACACATATAGCTGGATTAGAAAGTTATCTTCCACCCCACGAAAAGGAAATATTGGTGGAGTTCGCTGACATGGTATGCATGAAGTCACTAAGCGGTTTAATTGCGCTTTTATTGCCCCAAGATGTCTGCCTGCCTGACCGGAAAAGATAGCTCACCATCTCGACAAGTTCATACATGGTTGATATTCTCCTTAACTAACTAGATAGCTACGCTTTCAGACTTAACGTTGGTGGATGGTTGACCTTAGGCTTGGGATAAATAGGATGGGGAGTAAGCCAACTATTGAAAACTAGCTAGCAAGGTAGTTAACTAGCAAAATAGACAGAACCTAGCCAGCCTAACAATTAGCTAGCTAGCTATTGCCTATCTTATATAAACGGTAACGTAAACTAGCTATACTGTTTTTACTGTTAAATATGTTGAGACTTATCTTCAATGTAATTATAATCTTACCGGAGTCTTCTGTCACACACCTAGGTTCACGTCCCTTTTTTTCTCCGAGATATTAATGGGTCACACACCAGCTAATTCTGCTGCTCCCACTCCTCTAAATCAGCTGACCACCGTCTAGGAACATACAGAGAAGGATCTCATAATAGCCCGGAAGTAAAGCCGCACTTAGAGCCACATTTAAAATATCATACATTGCATACATGGAGCAGGGAGGGAAAAAATTGCATTAAAACACGATTTAAATTAACTTTCGTTATGGCTGTGGTCACCATTCAATTAATAAATCTCATGGTAGTGGGTAGCTATTGTAGTTTTTTCAAAGGTCCATTATTTTCCCATTTATGTACAGCAACCCTGGATTATTGGCAGCCCTGGTGTAAAGGGGAGGAATGGCAGAGCAAACCTTCATATGACGCTAAATATTTTTATGTGTAACTTGGAATTATACTGAACAAAAATATAAATGCCACACAAAGTGTTGGTCCAATGTTTCATGAGCTGAAATAAAAGATCCCAGTAATGTTCCATATGCACAAAAAGCTTATTTCTCAAATGTTGTGCTCAAATTTGTTTACATCCCTGTTAGTGAGCATGTCTCCTTTGCCAAGATAATCCATCCACCTGACAGGCGTGGCATATTAAGAAACTGATTAAACGGCAGGATCATTACACAAGTGCACCTTGTGCTGGGGACAATAAAAGGCAACTAATGTGACGTTTTATCACACAACACAATGTCTCAAGTTGAGGGAGCATGCAATTGGCATGCTGACTGCAGGAATGTCCACCAGAGCTGTTGCCAGAAAAAATGAATGTTCATTACTCTACCATAAGCCACCTCCAACATTGTTTTAGAGAATTTGGCAGTACGCCCCAACCGGCCTCACAACCGCAGACCACGCCAGCCCAAGACCTTCACATCAGGTTTCTTCACCTGCAGGAGCGTCTGAGACCAGCCCCTCAGACAGCTGTTGAAACTGTGGGTTTGCACAACCGATGAATTTCTGCACAAACTGTCAGAAACCGTCTCAGGGAAGCTCATCTGCATACTCGTCGTTCTCACAAGGGTCTTGACCTGACTGCATTTCGGCGTCGTAACTGACTTCAGTGGGCAAATGCTCACCTTCGATGGCCACTGGCACGCTGGAGAAGTATGCTCTTCACAGATGAATCCTGGTTTCAACTGTACTGGGCAGATGGCAGACAGCGTGTATGGTGTCGTGTGGGCGAGCAGTTAGCTGATGTCAACGTTGTGAACAGAGTGCCTCATGGTGGCGGTGGGGTTATGGTATGGGCAGAAGTAAGCTGTGGACAACGAACACAACTGCATTTTATCGATGGCAATTTCAATGCACAGAGATACCGTGATGAGATCCTGAGCCCCATTGTCGTGCCATTCATCCGCCGCCATCACCTCACGTTTCAGCATGATAATGCACGGCCCCATGTCGCAAGGATCTGTACACAATTCCTGGAAGCTGGAAATGTCCCAGTTCTTCCATGGCCTGCATACTCACCAGACATGTCACCCATTGAGCATGTTTGGGATGCTCTGCATCAACGTGTACGACAGCGTGTTCCAGTTACCACCAATATCCAGCAACGTCACACAGCCATTGAAGAGTGGGACAACATTCCACAGGCCACAATCAACACCCTGATCAACTCTATGTGAAGGAGATGTGTCACGCTGCATGAGGCAAACGGTGGTCACACCAGATCCTGACTGGTACTCTGATCCACGCCCCTACCTTTTATTCTAAGGTATCTGTGACCAACAGATTAATATCTGTATTCCCAGTCATGTGAAATCCATAGATTAAGGCCTAATGAATTGATTTCAATTGACTTATTTCCTTAGTAAAATCTTTGAAATTGTTGCATGTTGCATTTATATTTTTGTTTAGTGTCCATACTCTAATACATACCCTTTAACACTACTCTTTATCAGACCAATCAGCATGTCATTGGCACAAACGTCATGCTCAAAACAAGGAAAAAAAGGTTAGTTTGTGTAGGATTCCTGGCAATGTAAAAAGTTTGTATGCTTTTTGTATGTGACTATTCCTCGTCTGTTAATAAAATAAAGGTGGGGGAAAAAAAGCCGTTAAACTGAACTGGAAATGGCCAAACCGCACCCTGAAGATAAGCACATTGGTCATATATCCTCCTGCAGCAGGATATCAAAACAAATATTTAGTTTCCTGCACATTCAATTGTATACCTACATAATGTAGGAATTCCACATTAGATTAATGTATGACGCTACGGCAGACCTACCAATTTCATCTAAAAAATAATTGGAATTGCTTCAAGTTATGCTCCCTTATCATTTCCCCCTCATAAAAGTGTCCTCATATCTAGACCTCTACATTTGGAAACCTTTTGATGATGCAGTGGGTCAACCAGTTCAAAGGAAACTAATAGACATGGTCAGGTCAAGCCTTGACACACATCTGCCAGCCAGATTGCCTTGCTTTGCAAATAATGTCCTTAAGCCCACCTGGAAAACCCCAGGTTTCTTGCACACACAAACAAAACACAACACAATGAACTTAGTCATAAAACTATATTTATAAATAAAAATACATTTTCTCAAAAGAGTAGTGCAGTGTTTCCCAAACTCAGTCCTGGGGACCCCCAAGTGGTGCAACGCTTTTTAATTTTTTGCCATAGCACTACACAGCTGATTCAAATAATCAAAGCTTGATGATATATTTAGTATTTCAATCAGCTGTGTACTGCTAGGGAAAAAAGCTAATTCTGCACCCCTTGGGGTCCCCAGGACCGAGTTTGGGAAACGCCGGAGTAGTGTGAAAGACTTGGTAAGAAAACGTAAGACTAAAATGTACTTTTAAAATGAGTCTAAGCCGGAAGCTCATGTTAAGTGTTGAAAAAGAAACTACATGTATCTGCGACCAGCTATGATAAAAACATGAGAACAGAAAGGGCCTCAATTATTTTGCACTACATTATTTAACTTGTCTATTTTTCAGTCATACAAACAAACAAAAGTACACGTAAGGTTCGAAGGTTAGTGTTAATTTTCTGATTTCAGGTGAAAGATGTATGGAGAGAGGAGTTTATTATAAAACATTTTTACTTGTCTCTGGCGGACTAAGGTTGGGGAGGACAGGACGTGGAGATAGAAACAAAAGAACAAATGAAAAACATCCACGTAGAAAAGCGCCAAGTCATCCCCAGCTGTTCCCCAGGCCTCCCTCCGTCACGACCCAAGCCCAACTCGTCTCACAGGGAAGAAACTGAGAAAAGGCGCTTTCATTCCATCTGTGTGGGGGGGGGGGGGGGGGGGGTTCTTCACTGAAGAAAGTATATTGAGTCAGATACACCCTCAGGAGCAGAAGAGCAAGAGGACATTTCCAGCAGGGTTGGGCTCAATTCCATTTCAATTCTGGCAATTCAAAAGGAAATAACATTGACCCCAACCTTGATTTTCTAGAGACTTCCTCCTCCTGTCTGTCCCCCTCAGCACTAAACAAAAAATCCCTATCCTCCATTATGTGGGGAGCCTATGACATAACCTGCGTCACATGACATCGACAAAGAACTCGCCAGGGTTGCCTACGGCCATGCGCAGGGACTGGCGGGAGCCGGTGAGCTCTGGGGGAGCGTTGGCCAGCTGTCGGCCTGGGGGGGCTCCTGGGGCAGCTGTGGCCAGGTGGGGGGGGTTAGGAGGCAGGCCTGGAGGGCCGTAGACCAGGCCAGGGCTGTAGGACAGTGAGTGGGACGAGTGGGCGCTTCGATGGCTGTAGGAACTGCGGATGCTGCGCTCGCTAGGGGCCACAGAGCGCTCGCTGGGGGCCCGATGGCTCCTGATCTCTGATTCGCTGCCACTCCCACCCGACTTGTTGGAGCCCCCAGCACCGCCTCGGCCCTCGGTCTTACTGCAGTTGGAGCCGCTGCTCCCTGGAGACGGGGGAGCAAAACAAAGAGAAAGTGTGTTAGTATCCAACTACACTACATGACCATAAGTGTGTGGACACCTGCTCGTCGAACATCTCATTCCAAAATCATGGGCATTAATATGGAGTTGGTCCCCCCTTTGCTGCTATAACAGCCTTCACTCTTCTGGGAAGGCTTTCCACTAGATGTTGGAACATTGCTGCAGGGACTTGCTTCCATTCAGCCACAAGAGCATTAGTGAGGTTGGGCACTGATGTTGGGTGATTAGGCATGGCTCGCAGTCGGCGTTCCAATTCATCCTAAAGGAGTTCGATGGGGTTGAGGTCGAGGCCAGGGCTCTGTGCAGGCAAGTAAAGTTCTTCCACACCAACAAACAATTTCTGTATGGACCTCGCTTGTGCACGGGGGCATTGTCATGCTGAAACAGGAAAGGGCCTTCCCCAAACTGTTGCCACAAAGTTGGAAGCACAGAATCGTCTAGAATGTTATTGTATGCTGTAGTGTTAAGATTTCCCATCACTGGAATTTAGGGGCCTAGCCCGAACCATGAAAAACAGCCCCAGACCATTATTCCTCCTCCACCTAACTTTACAGTTGGCACTATGCATTCGAGCAGGTAGTGGCGTCCGCCAAAGCGTGATTCATCACTCCAGAGAACGCGTTTCCATTTCTCCAGAGTCTAATGGCAGCGAGCTTTACACTACTCCAGCCGACGCTTGGTATTGTGCATGGTGATCTTAGGCTTGTGTGCGGCTGCTCGGCCATGGAAACCCATTTCATGAAGCTCCCGACCAACTGTTATTGTGCTGACGTTGCTTCCAGAGGCAGTTTGGAACTCTGTAGTGAGTGTTGCAACCGAAGAGAGACGATTTTTACACGATACGCGCTTCAGCACTTGGCGGTCCCGTTCTGTGAGCTTGTGTGGCCTACCACTTCGCGGCTGAGCCGTTGTTGCTCCTAGACGTGTCCACTTCACAATAACAGCACTTCCAGTTGACCGGGGCAACTCTAGCAGGGAAGAAATTTGAACAACTAACTTGTTGGAAAGGTGGCATCCTATGACGGTGCCACGTTTAAAGTCACAGAGCTCTTCAGTAAGGCCATTGTTATTTACATTATTTTAAATTATTTTACCCCTTTTTCTCCCCAATTTCATGGTAGCCAATTGGTAGTTAGTCTTGTCCAATCGCTGCAATTCCCATAACTCCCGTACGAAACACAACCCAACCGAGCCGCACTGCTTCTTGACACAATGCCCGCTTAACCCAGAAGCCAGCCGCACCAATGTGTCAGAGGAAACACTGTACACCTGGCGACCGTGTCAGCGTGCACTGCGCCCGGCCCGCCACAGGAGTCGCTAGTGCGCGATGGGCCAAACCCTCCCCTAACCTGGACGACACTGGGCCAACTGTACGCCGCCCCATGGGTCTCCCGGTCGCGGCCGGCTGCGACAGAGCCTGGACTCGAACCAGGATGTCTAGTGGCACACTTAAGACCACTGCGCCACTCGGGAGGCCTCAGTAAAAGGCCATTCTACTGCCAATGTTTGTCTATGGAGATTGCATGGCTGTGTGCTCGATTTTACACACCTGTCAGCAATGGGTGTGGCTGAAATAGCCGAATCCACTAATTTGAAGGGGTGTCCACATACTTTTGTATATATAGTGTATTTGTCCTTCATACATGACTGCAAGTGTTTTATGAATTACTGTGTGTATGTTCTGGCTTTGCTGCGTGCATTATTGTATATGTTGAGTGAAGCCATACATTGAAATTACATTATCTATTACTGCAATACTCCTGTCATTAATTTTAGTTTTCGAGTTTTTCTATATCATTAATAATGCTGTGAGCTTTGTCAGGCATGCTAATGCAGTGATGTAAGAAGTAGTGACCCCGTTTTTGGGAAGGCTCATGGGAGAGATGCATGATTCATGCCTGGGCCAACACAGATTCATTGATATTTACTGTGGCAGATAAATAGCAAAAACTATTGTTACGATAGTATTATGATAGATTTTTTTTGTGTGTGGCATATTGTCCTAGTTCCCCCTCTCTTAGTGTCTGGGTTTGATTGAATACTGCTGGTGAGTCCCAGCTCTCCTCACCTTCGCTGTGTTGGCTGCCAGCGCTGCCCGCCCCTACTCCCGGGAAGCCCTGGGGCAGGTCGTGTTGGGGCTGGGGGTTGTAGGGGTGGGCGATGGAGAACTGGTAGGGCAGGGCCATGGGCCAGGGGGCCGCCCCAGGGTGGGGCAGAGGGGGCAGGGTGTCCTGGTCCGATGCCCCGCCGCTGGAGCCGTCATGGTCGTGCAGAGAGAGGTGGGTCATGTCTGAGAGAGAGAGATTGAGTTATCATGAATATTAATGTCACAGTTTTGTTTTGTCTGCAAACACAGAAGGGCTAGGGACTAGGGGTGGTTTTCAAACCATGAAATACAATGACGATATAGTGAAAAAAACTCACTGCCACAGAGGTCTCCGAAGATGTAGTAGCACTGCTCGGAGAAGGTGATCTTGTTGACGGTGTGGCGGATGTAGCCGGCCTTGAGCAGGTTACTGGCGTACTTCCTTGCCTCCCGTCGGTCTGAGAATCCCTCCATGTGATGAAAGAGCCAGTCCACCACGTCTGAGCCTTTGGATACAGAAACACACCAAAAACATACATGAGTCTAGACACAAAATACACATTCCATGGCAATTAACCCACAAACTAGGCAGAAGAGACACATTCAGACATATAAAAGGGGTCATATAGAAAGACAACTAGGACAGGAGGACTGACAGGGAGAGAGGTAGAGAGAGGTAGAGAGAGGTAGAGAGGAAAAGGAGAGTAGGCGTACCTATGAAGGCATTGGCGATGGTGATCTTTAGCCACATCCTGTCTCGCACCTCCAGGCCCGACTCCGGGGAAGCCATGGCCTTGGCAACAGTTGACATGTCACTGTGGATGGACAGGTGGAAATCGTCGAAGCCTGCGAGGAGCAAATCGTGAGTTGGGTTACTGGGTTTAGCGAAGGTAGTTATCATGGGTTACAGGTTTATAATGGGACATTGGGACAGTTTTGATAGGACGTAGGTTTTCCACTGTATGGCAGTTTTGTGGGATTTTCAAATATTAGCTGAACTTGTAATAGACATTACATTATGAGCTCCTTCGCATACTAGCCTGTCCTCAACTGTAGATTGCGTCATGACACAAAGAGTTTTAGAGTGTTTTAATTACAGTTGAATTTAGTCAGTTTTGACAGGACCCAGGTGTGTGACTCACGTTCAGTCTCAGGGATGGAGCTGCTAATGGAGGAGCTGGTGGAGGTGACTGTGCTCATCGATGGGCTCATGCCATAAGCAGGGTACACCCCTGTCATAGCCGCAGTGTGGGACACCCAGGCAGCAGGGTCAATGGGCCGGATCGGCTCACCTGGTGGGAGAAAACGGGGGTTCAACATAGTACACAGACTTCACAAAAACACACAAATAAATCCATAAAACAAACAAGAATACTCGGACATTCACAAATGTTTCGTGGGTGTATTGTGAGGGGAAGACACAGCAGGTGAATACTCACTTCTCGGCAGAGCAAAGCAGCTCCGGGGGTTGGGGTCCCAGCACTTAGCCACAGTCAGAGTGATGGGGCTATAAACAGAGTTTACACACAGTTAACACAGAGCTGGCAATGCTCACAACACCATGTTTATACGGCTTAGGCAAAGTTGCAAAACTTGCACCTGTCTTTTTACAGATGGAATACAATACTAAAGATAGTGAAAGCTGAAGTCCAGGTTTAATAAGTCCTAAGACTGATGTTGTGTCAACTGGAGCGTGTTTGTAGACGTGTGTGTGAAAGAGCACACGTGCGTGAGTGACTCACCCTGGCTTGTGTACGATGTCCCTCAGCACTCGAACTGCATCGTCGTTGTTCATGTTCTCAAAGTTGATGTCGTTCACCTGTTAAGAGGGTGGAGACAATCTCAGTCTCGCTACGGCATTGTTCTGTGTAATTGTGGGCTATTCTGGGTGCTGAAATCAGTCGTTTCTGATAAAAACTTCATTTTATGTGACGTCAGAGCTCCAGTCCACCCACACTAGTCGCCCTCTCAACTCCAACGTAAATCATGGAGTTGAGTTTAGTCTGCTAAAGTGGGTCGTATTCATTAGGGTTCATTCACACTGTAGCAAAATGTTTTGAAACTGAAAACAAAAACAAGCATTTTATTATTGGACATATTTAGGTAGTTCCACCATTTCAGTCGATTTTCTTCCATTTGGTGCCTCATGAACACAACCCTGACTTCAACCGTTTGTTCACCCTGCTGTAATGTTCAATGGCATCCACTTAATTCACTCTGGATTCAAGGCTGTTACAAAGAGTCCCAAACCCTCAAACATACGAGCACACACCTGCAGTAGCATGTCTCCAGGCTCAATGCGTCCGTCTGCGGCCACCGCCCCTCCCTTCATGATGGAGCCGATGTAGATGCCCCCGTCGCCCCTCTCGTTGCTCTGCCCCACGATGCTGATGCCCAGGAAGTTATACTTCTCTACAGAGGGGGGAGAGAGAGAGAAAGAGAATGAGTGGTCAGGAGGACTATGTAAAGCTTTATTGCAAGTGAAAAAGAGACAGAAAGCCACAGAGAAACACTTACCCATGTTCAGAGTGACAGTGATGATGTTCAGTGACATGGTGGAGTCTGTGATGCTGCTGAACGATGACGACTAGAAAGAGAGAAAGGGGGGCGAGAGAGGTAAGAAAACGTGTGTGTTTGTGTGTCAGGGTTTCCGTCAGGAAAATGTGGCGTCGGACAACGTGACCGGGAAGATATGAGAAATTTACCCGACTCATATGCTAACTAGCCAATGCTAACAAGCGTTAGCACAATGACTGGAAGTCTATGCATGCTAGCAGGTACCCATAGACTTACAGCCATTGCGCTAACGCTAGTTAGCATTGGCTCCGGAAACTACCTCTAACTTCATACTGGACAGAGACATAAAAATGGTATCCACGAGTTCATCTGACTCTGGGGAAGTAGATAAAGGGCCTCATTGCCAAAATTCCAAAGTATCCCTTTAACCACGTGACAATGATTGAGAAATGAAAACGTTATTATTGAAATGAAACTGTTCCACGAAAATGTGCATATGAAAATCATAACCGGCACGCAGATCGGTAGAAATCGTAGGATAAATTGTATGCCTCCCTAAACTTTAAAAACTCACGTGCCGCCTATTAAGTCTTTATAAAATATTTGCCTCCACGTTTCTATGGTCTGATTTTCAAGCAAGGTAAGTCAAACAATTAAGTATGTTTTCAAAATGCATACTGCCTCCCGCACACATTGTAAAGTGGTGGGTGACGCACTGATAGCCTGCATACAGTTGTTTTTTCTCCCGGTCAATTTGGCAGGCAACAATTTGTATTTATTGGCTTTTTATTTTATTTTATTTGGCCAAAAGCCAGCAATAACTGGCTAACGGAAACCCTGGTATGTGTCTGCCCATCTCACCCTTTCCATGTTGGATGTTTTGGGTTTCCGGCGGCGCCGGCGGTGTCGCCTCATCAGTCGAGAGGAGCTCTGTTCTGTGGAACTGCTGAACCTGGGGGAGAAAGTCCAATAGGGTTACGGTATGCAGAATACCTTTGGTTCTCACAGGTTAAGTAAAACATACGGGAGGCAAGAAAGTGGAGGTTGGCGGAAAATTGCGTAATGGTTATCTAGAGGTTCTCACCGGCTGGTGGCGTCGTCATCCTCAGAGTCAAAGCAGCTGGTGGACTCCAGCTCGCTGCTCATGAAGGACGAGCAGCTGTCGTATTGGCCCAGCTCCGCCCCTCGGCCCACCCGCGAGTAGCCATTCCTCCCACCTGCAGGGGGTGAGAGAGGTGACAGAGTTTCACAGGGGAGGGGCTAACAGTCACAGCGCTATATGCTCAGTTCCTAATCGGTCTCTGGGCACTTCATGGAGTTTGGATAGGTCTAACGCTAGAAAAGTATAAAGTGATGGCAATAGCTACACATTGCACCTTGTTAGTCTGGGAGGAATATGGCTGTATGGCTCATACACCTATTCAACAACTAGGCTAGACCACGTATCACGCGGGGAACTGGACAGTACAGTAGAGACATTTTGAGGAAGAGCGAGAATGTCAAAGAGGAGTGAAAGAGATGCTGAGTGAGTGACTGAGTGAGAGGAATGGAGGGGACCAACTGCTCTCTGACCGTGCTCGCGAGTGTGTTTCCGGCGTGGCCGCTCCCTCGCTCTTCTCTGGGACACCATCGAGCCCGTCTCTGTCTCGTTGTCCAACGAGTCTCGTCCACCTGTGGCCTTCCCACTGCAGTGAGACATGGAGAAAGGGAGGGCGAAGGGGAGGAAAGGAAAGGAGGAGTGGGGTGTCACAAGAGGGAATTCTTTTCACCATTGAGCACATTGTTGTGCTCACTGTTTTCATCATTATTTCGGCAGATATTAGAAGCACAATGGAGATTATTAACCAAGACTAAGCCTATAAAGACACTCAGAGAGACAAACACACTTATTCACAAGCACAACATCTCTCAAACAGCCAAACAGAAACACAAACAAAGTCAAATATGTTCGCATTGCGCACACAGCTAAACACACACACACAACAGAGATAACTGACTGGTAGGAGGGGGGTCTGGAGTCCCCGATGCCCCCAGTCCTCTCCAGGGGGGGTGGCGGCAGCTCCGACAAACTCTCCACCACAGAGCCACCATCTGAGTGAGCACCGTCCCCCGACACCAGCTGAGGACACAGAGGTAGACAGACAGACCAACTTTGAGACCCTAAGAATCATTCAAATTTGATTTACATGCACTATGCAGCTATTTTTACAAATACATTTTATAGCAAGCCAGGTCTGTAGCGCCAGGACCCAGCAGAGAGCTGACAGACAGAGACACCCTGGATACCAAACATTTCACCACAACTTAATACCTTTAGCCTGATCAGATTGGCCTTGCCTCTGTCTCTGCCTATCACACAGCCAGACAGATTTTTGTTCTACCTTATGTTATTTTTAGTACTACATTGATATCGATTACTGCATTGTTGGGTTTAGAGCTTGCAAGAAAGGCCTTTCACTGCACTTGTGCACGTGACATTAAAACTGAAACTGAGATAAACATACAGGGGCATGAACAGAGACGACTATCATGACCAATCACTGTATGGAATAAAGCCAGTAACTAGGGCCCAGAGATTTTCCTAGTTATAGTAACAAGGTTGGCCTACTGCCCCCCCCCCCCCCCCCCCCCACACACACACACACACCATTTCCTTATTAAACAAACCACTCTTTCACTCCTTTATTTTGCCCCTCTGTTACTTGTGATTCAATCTCCTCATTAGCTGCAGTGAAGCTCTTTATTTGGGAGTGATGTCTATGATCCTGTGATTTCAGTTTCTCTTAATCAGATCTCAATGGAGAAACAAAGGACAAGAGAGGCAGCGCAAAGAACCAGATGGCTCAGTCATGGAGAGAGGGGATCATTGGTCTGTGTGTGAGCTGAGAAATGTAAGAGTTTTATAGAGACATAAATAACTACTGTATTTGTAAGAGAGTTAGAAAGATTGACGAGATAAGAGAGCGTGAGAGAAACTCTTTGTGTGTGTGTGTGTGTGTGTGTGTGAACGCGTGCGCGCATGTTCCATGTGTGTTTGTGTGTGCCACTGTTATTCCTAACATCATTATGTAGTAATGATATTATCAGACAGATGGGTGGGGCTTCTCTCTAGGGACAGAGTGATGTTTGGGGTCAATAGCAGCCCCAACAGATGGGTGTCATTGACAAACACTTAAGACAAAGATGAAGTGTGTGTGCTTACCCAAGATACCACACGGCCATTAAAACAAGGGAGTTTGGCATTGTCATCAGATATCTCTTCTTTCACTACCCTGCAAGGGAAAGAGAGAACAACATTGACTCACCATGTGTACACAAATGCTGGTAAGGAATGCAAAAACACTTAGAAACACTCCCGGTCCCAACAATAGAAAAACCCTGCTTTGACCAATCCCACAAAGACAAGGACATTCTAATAATTAGTCTGATGGTAAAAACATATTGGCCTAATGTTTCTGGCTTTTGCGCTCTCATTTGTTACATTTCTGTGCTAGCTAGTTCAGTTACTACACTGAACAAAAATATAAACACAACATGTAAAGTGTTGGTCCAATGTTTCATGAGCTGAAATAAAAGATCCCAGAAACTTTCCAAATACACAAAAAGCCCTGTTATTGGGCATTTCTCCTTTGCCAAGATAGTCCATCCACCTGACAGGTGTGGCATATCAAGAAGCTGATTAAACAGCATGATCAATACACAGGTGCACCTTGTGCTGGGGACATTAAAAGGCCACTCTAAAAATTTGCATTTGTGTCACACAACACAATGCCAAAGACGTCTCAAGTTGAGGGAGCGTGCAATTGGTATGCTGACTGTAGGACTATCCACCAGAGCTGTTGCCAGATAATTGAATGTTAATTTCTCTACCATAAGCCGCCTCCAAAGTCGTTTTAGAGAATTTGGGAGTATGTCCAACCGGCCTCACAACCGCAGACCACATGTAACCACGCCAGCCCAGGACCTCCACATCTGGCTTCCTCACCTGCGGGATTGTCTGAGACCAGCCACCCAGACAGCTGATGAAACTGTGGGTTTGCACAACCAAATAATTTCTGCACAAACTGTCAGAAACGTCTCAGGGAAGCTCCTCTGCGTGCTCGTCGTCCTCACCGGGGTATTGACCTGACCGTCATAACCGACTTCAGTGGGCAAATGCTCACCTTCAATGGCCAATGGAACTCTAGAGAAGTGTGCTCTTCACGGATGAATCCCAGTTTCAACTGTACGGGCAAATGGCAGACAGCGTGCATGGCGTTGTGTGGGCGAGCGGTTTGCTGATGTCAACGTTGTGAACAGAGTGCCCCATGGTCGCGGTGGGGTTATGGTATGGGCAGGCATAAACTACGAACACAATTGCATTTTATCGATGGCAATATGAATGCACAGAGATATAGTGACGAGATCCTGAGGACCATTCATCCACCGCCATCACCTCATGTTTCAGCATGATAATGCACAGCCCCATGATGCAAGGTTCTGTACACAATTCCTGGAAGCTGAAAATGTCCCAGTTCTTCCATGGCCTGCATACTTACCAGACATGTCGCACATTGAGCATGTTTAGGATGCTCTGGATTGACATGTACGACAGCGTGTTCCAGTTCCTACCAATATCCAGCAACTTCGCACAGCCATTGAAGGGGAGTGGAACAACATTCCACAATCAACAGCCTGATCAACTCTGCGAAGGAGATGTGTCGCGCTGCATGAGGCAAATGGTGGTCACAGATACTGACTGTCTTTCTGGTTCTGATCCACGGCCCTATCCTTTTTTTAACGTTATCTGTGACCAACAGATGCATATCTGTATTCCCAGTCATGTGAAATCCATAGATTAGGGCCTAATGAATTTATTTCAATTGACCGATTTCCTTATATGAACTGTAACTCATTAAAATCTTTGAAATTGTTGCGTTTATATTTTTGTTCAGTATAAGATTTTATATTAAACAACAATGTGTGTGTGTGTTCAACACAACAGAACAAACAAACATGCAGTCTCAAATTCAAATCTAACCCGATGTCAGAGCACTTCAGTGCCATTTGCAGACCGGTTTGAAATCAAATATATGAACCACTCAATCCTGACCCTCAATCTGGCAAAGTACTTTGGAGTTCTCCGCTGTCTTGATAGACAGCTAGGCCTAAAGGCGTCAGCATGCTTCAGTTCGGCTGCGCCTAGCTAAACTCGGCTAGGCGAACCAAACCAGTGTGCTCGCATACTCCCTTAAAAGACCTTTGCTTGAAAAACAAGAAAAGTGGCAATAGTACTGTTTGCCCATTTTGAGACACTTCCTCAAAATAGTCAGAATTAATCTAAGATAACTCAAGAAATCTTAGTCGCACAATTTTACATCTAACTAAGATGTTTGGAGCAGTATTTCTGTGTGAAAAAATGTTGCATAAACAATTAGTCTCTCGTTGAATGACAACAAACACTTAATTGAAGAATCCCTAATGTTGACCAATCACCGGGGCTACGACTTCGACTACTGCCTTCGGCTTGCCTCAAGAAAAAATGTGAGCATGAACCCTTGCCGAAGACCAAAACGAACAAAAAATAACACAAAATGCTTCGGCTGGGAAGCTTGCGGCTGCCTTGAGCCATTCTCCAAAACAGATCATTGAAGAGTTTTACTCAACAAAGGTGGTCAACACTGAGGTAACCCATTTCTGACATGGCTCTTATATATAGCCTACCGTATTTTGAAACACCCAAACCCTTTATCTGAAAGGACACAAGATATCTAAAGCACCTTCCTGGTGTTAAAGTGATTGTTCACTCCAAAAAGTGAAGACATTTTCTGTGATGGAATGGGAGATGGACTCATTTTGAGACTAGAGGTTCCTTTTCCATTTCAGACATGTTTCATGCGTAAGGGTTGGCCCGTAAACCAGCCAGTGAAAAACAAGGCATTCCAGAGTAAGTGACCGACCGTTGTGTCCAACCAGTCTGCATTCCTTTTTGACAACAACAGCAAGAGAGAGGAGACCATTATCGTGGTCCCTTCTCCCTAATGCACGTGTCAAACACAAGTTTAAACTTGATTAAATGTCGATGCCATGTGAATTGACTTACCATATGCCGGTTTTCAACGTATTTGACAGCTATGTAGAAGCAAGAAGCTGAAAGGTTACAACTGTTTCATTAGAACGACACACATGAACTACAACTCCCACCAGCTGTATACTGCATTTCTCACTTTCAGAAGCTTGCCGGTCTACACTTTTTTTTTTGTAAGTACGGCTGGCAACGTTCTGTAAAAAAGCCACAGCATAATCTAATATAATACACGTCAAACAGACTAACAGGTTTTTACCGTCCTGTGAGTCCTCAACTCGAGCAAGTACGCTTGAGCATGCTAACAAGGCTGCAGGAGTTGTGGTTGAAATTAGACTTTTCTAACTTTCGCAAATGTTTTTATAGTGTTTCCCCTATATTCACACCCCTGCTAAATCGTTGCAGCCAATCCCAAAAATATGATAAAAAAAACAGATATAAAGTATGTCAAACTGCCTGGAAGTAACGTCAGCACAAGAACTGTTCGTCGGGAGCTTCATGAAATGGGTTTCCATGGCCGAGCAGCCGCACACAAGCCTAAGATCACCATGCGCCATGCCAAGCGTCGGCTTGAGTGGTGTAAAGCTTGCAGCCATTGGACTCTTGGAGCAGTGGAACCGCGTTCTCTGGAGTGATGAATCACGCTTGACCATCTGACGGACGAATCTGGATTTGGCGGATGCCAGGAAAATGCTACCTGCCCGAATGCATAGTGCCAACTGTAAAGTTTGGTGGAGGAGGAATAATGGTCTGGGGCTGTTTTTCATGGTTCGGGCTAGGCCCCTTAGTTCCAGTGAAGGGAAATCTTAATGCTACAGCATACAATGACATTCTAAACGATTATGTGCTTCCAACTTTGTGGCAACAGTTTGGGGAAGGCCCTTTCCTGTTTCAGCATGACAATGCCCCTGTGCACAAAGCAATGTCCATACAGAAATGGTTTTTCGAGATCGGTGTGGAAGAACTTGACTGGCCTACACAGAGCCCTGACCTCAACCACATCAAACAACTAATCACCCAACATCAGTGCCCAACCTCACTAATGCTCTTGTGGCTGAATGAAAGCAAGTCATCCAAAATGGTATACTATTGACTCATCTGTCCATAGAACATTCTTCCAAGCGTCTTGACGATCTTCCAGGTGCTTTTTGGCAAACTTGAATGAACTTTATAGACGAGATGGGTCCCATTATGTCTGGCGAAAACCAAACACTGCATTCCACAGTAAAAACCTCATACCAACGATCAAGCATGGTGGTGGTGGTGTGATGGTTTGGGGAAGCTTTGCTGCCTCAGGACCTGGATGAATTGCCTTAATAGAAGGAACCATGAATTCTGCTCTGTATCAGAAAATTCTACAGGAGAATGTCAGGCAATCCGTGTGTGAGCTGAAGCGCAGCTGGGTCATGCAGCAAGACAATGATCCAAAACACACAATCAAATCTACATGAAAATGGTTAAAAAGCAATGAACTTGACATTTTGGAATGGCCTTGTCAGAGTCCAGATCTAATCCCAATTGAGATGTTGTGGCAGGACTTGAAATGAGCAGTTCATGCTTGAAAACCCACAAACGTCACTGAGTTAAAGCAGTTCTGCATGCAAGAGTGGGCCAAAATTCCTCCACAGCGTGTGAGAGACTGACCAACAACTACAAGAAGCATTTGGTTGCAGTCATTGCAGCTAAAGGTGGCACAACCAGTTATTGAGTGTAAGGGGGCAATTACTTTTTCACAGAGGGGAATTGGGTGTTGCATAATTTTGTTAATTAAATAAATAAAATAAGTATATATTTGTTTTGTTATTTGTAAACTCAGCTTCCCTTTATATAATATTAGGTTTTGGTTGAAGATCTGATAACATTCAGTATCAAAAATATACAAAAACAGAAAAGAAATCAGAAAGGGGAAAATACTTTTTCATGGCACTGTACATCGGCGGATGCGGTGGATTGAGACTGATCCAATGCAAAAAACAGATGCGGTACCTCTAGCTTAAACTGCCCTCAGAACAGCTTCAATTGGTCAGGGCATGGACTCTACAAGGTGTCGAAAGCGTTCCACAGGGATGCTGACCCATGTTGACTCCAATGCTTCCCACAGTTGTATCAAGTTGGCTGGATGTCCTTTGGGTGACGGACCATTCTTGATACACACAGGAAACTGTTGAGCATGAAAAACCCAGCAGCGTTGCAGTTCTTGACACAAACC